CCATATCGAACCTTGGGTCGGGATAGCGCGCCCAGAACCATTGGCGAACATTACGGTCGAGAAGGTCAGAACAGCGTCGCCTTGTCCAAACCGAGGCGCGTTTCTAGGGCCGGCGGGCGGCATTCGCAGCGGGTGGGCATGGTTTTCATAGAACGGGGCCAAAGCTATGAGTGATATAGTGGAGTACACCGCGCAGCACGTGCACTGACCGTCGCAGGAAGACATGTCGGGGCATTCTGCGGTGCCAAAGCCGAAGTCGGATGGCAAACGACGCGCGGCGCCGCCGTTTCCGCCAGCGCAGTCCGCCGGGGGGCGCGCGCTGCAGAGGGGCGCGAACTCGGGGGGGGGCAGACCGCCAAATCGCATGTCTGTAGAAGGCAAGGCGCCGAAGACGCCGCGCGGGATCCAGCGACACGCGGCGAGCGTTGCCGACAAGGCGAGGTCAGCACGTCGATGGCAATGGACCGACGTCGCGGAGATGTTCGAGCACGTCGCCACGAGGCAGCCGTGGATACGCGGATACCCGGCCGGAAGCTTGGCGCGCGAGACCAGGCGCTGTCGATCGCGATCCCGACCTCCGCCGCAAAGAGAGCGGTCGCGCTGCTCGGCACGCGGACGAGGCCACCAGGGCGCGGTCGGCAGTTGCCGCGCGGGGCCGAGGCACGAAGGCGCCCAATGCGATCGCAATCGCAGTGCTCGACAGCGAAGGCGAACCTTCGCGCGAACGACGTCGTCGCGAGCACCCATGGCCCGCCGATGGAGGCGGTCGCTCGAGCGAAGCAAACGGCGATGGACAGCGCGCCAGAGGCGGGATCTCGAAGCCTTCCAGCGCCCAAGGCGAGGCACACATGCGTCACGGAGGAGATTGGAAAGAGGTGCATCAACATGACGAGCCAGGATGCGAAGCTCACGACCAAAGGACGGGCGCGAGACTGGGAACTGGAGATGGGGGGCCGCGGCGCCCAGCCCGGCGTGGACTCCACGCAAGGCGGCGGTGCTCAGCATCGCGGTTGGCAAATTGAAAGGACCGAGCTCGCGCGCGAACGGTCGACGAAATTCAACGCGCTACAAAGGCAGGGGGCAGGGGGCGGCCCATGGACCCACATGCTCGGGGGCCCCACCAGGATTTGTCGAACGAGCAAGGCTTGCGACGCCGGCGGCACCCAGCGTCAGCTGGATGAGGAAATTTAGAACTACCAGGCCAAGGTTGATTAATGCGGATCCATTGCGCACGCTTGGGCCGAGGCCGATCATCAAGTTGACCGTGGCGTGGTGAAATAAAACGATGGGCGAGCAGGCCCCGACTTCCGCGCGGGGGGCGGCGCCGACACGAGGGGCGGGGGGGGCAGAGGCGCGCTGCACATGGGCGCGATCCGGGGCCCAGCGGAGGCGTTGTTCGCCACGCTGCGCAGCTCAGGCTGGACATGTCCATCATGCTGGGCGATGTGCAAATGGCCAGGCCACGCGTTCGAACAGCGGACGGAGACACTTGAGACACTGGGCACGCGCTAGACATGGCTCAACAAAGGCAAATCCTAGCATGTTGGGCGAAGCAGAAGGGCCCGCAGGACGTCAGCGCGCCGCCAGGCGCGCGTGGGCGAGGGCGTCTGCGCGCAGGCCAGGTTCCACGCGCATGGAAAGTCGAACAAGTTCTGGCGGCAAGACAGCAGGTAACCCAAGGCGCAGGTTCGGGAGTTTCAGTAAGTGGGGCGAGTCGGCAAGGGCGCCGGCATCCTGAAGGCGGGCGGGCGTTTCCACATCTGGGTTGGAGTACAAGTGGGAGCTGATACGGGTGAGGTTCAAGAGGCGCCAGTTGCGATGGATGCGACGTTGAACAACCCAGGGCAATGGCTCGTTGGAGACAAGGGCGGCACAGTGCTGGGTGGGCGCTGGGATATGCCAGCGGGGCGAGCAAAGCTTCATGCTTTATGGCATGGGCTCGAGAGAGCTGGCGGAAAAATGGCGGCCATCACGAACTATGGCACGATGGTCAGCGGCATCAGGCGCGACAGAGGGTGGCGCGGATACGGGCACACGCGGATCCGCGACCGCGATAATGCAAAACGCTGGACGAGACCCACCATGGACCAGCCAGGTTCTAGATCAGCAAAGTCAATGCTCACGCGAAGGTGAGTAGTGATTTGGTGTCTTTGGTCCAGCACCACAACAAGCAAGTGGGCCAGGCGGCGAAATTATACGCAGAGTTTGAAGCCGCACGAGTGGGCGCTGGCCGACTGGAAGCAGAAGAGGAAGGATATCCAGGCGGCGCTCAGCCCGGTCGGAGGCTTGGCGCGCGCGGTGGGCACATTCGATAACGACTGCTCGCCGCGGAAGCAACGGGCGGAGCGGGGGCAGATCAGCGAGCGCGAGAACGTGAACGACGGGAGTGAGTCAGAACGCCAGCCCGCCTCGCGGCCGCTGGACCCCCTAGGTGCAGGAGCAGGGTCAGCGTCGCATGTTTTGCTAGAAGCCCCAGACATGCCCACCTCGTCGATGCTGGATTACCCGCGCACGGGCGCAGGGTCAGCGTCGCAAACTTTGCTGGAGACCATGGCAAACAGTAGCGCCAGGGTCATGTCAGAATTGCCCACCTTGTCGGCGCCGGATTCCCCCGGCGCGGGCACGGCAGTTGCTGCGGCTCTGGCGGCGGCGGCGGCCGTCGACAGCGACGACGAGCGTCTTGTCAATAGCGTGCAGGCACGGCGAACGGACGCGGATGCGAGGCCCTGCTCCCGGGCGCTATGTGATCCCAGCGAGTGTGAGGATGACTTGGGGGAGATCGATGCAGAAGTTGACGAGGATCCGCCAATCCGGCGACGTAGAATGAGACTCGGCTTAAATTATTGCGTTGCCGCGCCCGCCCAATAGTGGGACGCCAGCCCCCTGCCATGATTTAACGCGAAGAATGCCCTGGCGCCCCAGTCCACCTGGAGTACGACAAGCATCATGGAAAGCGCGGCAGATGCCGACGTGGCCGCGCCCGGGGAGCCGCCTGCCACAGCCATGGGATCTTTGGAAGACCCGGAGGCCAGACAGAGGGAATCCGGAGCTTCGAACCACGGCGGGGTCTAAAAAGGCTTCGCCACGCTGGCAGCGGAGCCCCAAGGGAGGCCTGGAGGGCCTGAGGTCCAGGCGGCGTTGGGGGGGCTGGGGAAGGCTCGCGACGCGCGCAGCTTCGGGCCCCTCACCGCTCGACCCCCGCCGCCCGCAGGACCTCCTGCTGCCGCTCCAAGGCCCCATCGGGGCCTCGAGGGGGCCTCGGGGCGCCCGGCCTGCCACCTGGGGGTCTCTGGGGGCCACCTCGAACGCCGCTTGAGCCGCGCGGGCGCGCGCGCGCGTTCTGCACGCGCCGCCGACGGCGGCGCATAGGCCCCGGTTTCGGCCCCTGGAAGAATCGCGCAAGGGGCAGCCTGCGACGAACGCGCCGAGGCTGTCTCGCAGCAAAATGACGAGACCCCCGCCTTAGTCGCAAGGAGAGAAGGCCGTTTGCACATCGGAGAGAACCCGTTTCTCCTAGGCGGAGGCCAGAGAGTTCCTCGGCGCCTGCGACTTGGACCAAGGTCACTCTTAACGCGCAGCGTGCTGCCCCGTCGCCACGGCGTCCGCCCATGAACAAAAGTGTGGATTTGAAGAGCCAGCAGGGCGAGGGAATGAAGAGATTATGCATCCTGACTACAGAAGGCATGTTCACATTTCTCGTGCTCCAGTCTTGGTACTATCAATGGCAGGTGCCGTTCCATATGCCTGGTCGTCGTAGGGTCGTTTCGTTTGGTTTCAACCGGGTTCTCTCCGAATTACCCGTTGTTGCATTTGCGTTTCCCCCGACATCGTTGTTCTCGGGTGTCGTTTCGCTGCTGTGCATGACAACGGGATTTGTTGAGGGTGGTCGAGTACCCACGGCCCCCCCGTGTCGATCAGGGCCCATTGGAAAGTTTTATACATTATGCAAGATGATAGACAGAAGAAGCGCGCGCCGTGTCCGACCCGCCAAGAATACATCAGCAGTACTTTACAGGATCCGAGGCCAACCAAGAAACAAGGGCCCGACACCTATCATTGCAAGCGCGGTAGCAAGTTATCTTTGGCGGTATCGGGCAGCCCGACGCTCATGTTCAATGGTACGCGAGTCGCATGGTGGTTCACTCGTTGTCGATTGCATCCCAAACGAACACACAAGTACAAGCGCAACATCGAGCAACTCACAGTGTCTTGGCCGCCAATCATGTTTTCGTTCGGCCTTCATCCTCCGCTGATTGGATTGGTTCGTCATCATCTTGCTCCGCCTCACCAGCCCTACGCCGTCAACGCGCTGCGCCAGTCAAGCTTCCCACAAAGATGTGGTCTCTGCATCCCTTATTTCCCCGACTCCTATCCTCGTCGTTTTTCCTGTCCTCCCCCCTCCCGCTTCCTGCCACCCAGACAGCGAGGAGGGCGGGGAGAAAGAGAAACGAGACGAGGAGCAGGACCAGGAACAAAAGGGGGACGATGATGACGACGACGACGACGACGACGGCGACGGCGACGACGACGAAAACAACGACGAAAACAACGACGAAAACGACGACGACTGCGACGGCGACGGCGACGGCGACGGCGAAGGCGACGGCGACGGCGACGTCGACAGCGACGGCGACGGCGACGGCTACGGCGACGGCGACGTCGACGGCGACGGCGGCGGCGATGGCCACGGCTACGGCCACGGCCACGGCAACGGCCACGGCCACGGCCACGGCCACGGCCACGGCCACGGCCACGGCCACGGCCACGGCGACGACGACGACGACGACGACGACGACGACGACGACGACGACGACGACGACGACGACGACGACGGACGACGACCGACGACCGACGACCGACGACCGACGACCGACGACCGACGACCGACGACCGACGACCGACGACCGACGGCGACGACGACGGCGGGGCGCCGACGACGACGGCGGAAGCGGTGGCGACAGCGGCGTCGACGGCAGCGGCGACGACGATGTGCAGCCCAGGGCTGGGGCCTGCCTTTCCAGCGGCCGGCGCCGGCGGGCGCGGGCGCCGTGGGGGCATCAGGACATGCGATTCCCAGGGGGAGGGGGGCCTCCTGCCCTCCCAGGGGGATAGGGTTTTGTTGCGTTTCCTCTTCCTTCATTCCTCCTCGGGCCCCCTCGTCCTCCTCGTCCGCCTCTGCCTCTGCCTCCTCCTCCTCCTCTTCCTCCTCCTCCTCCTATTCCTCCTCCTCCTCTTCCTCCTCCTCCTCCTCCTCCTCCTCGGGCCTCCTCCTCCTCCTCCTCCTCCTCCTCCTCCTCCTCCTCCTCCTCCTCCTCCTCCTCCTCCTCCTCCTCCTCCTCCTCCTCCTCTCTCCTCCTCCTCCTCCTCCTCCTCCTCCTCCTCCGCTCTCACGTCGAACAGTTACCTAGGTTCGTCCTCTTTGAAACGCTAGGAGGAGGATGAGAGGGAGGAGGAGGAGGAGGAGGAGGAGGAGGAGGAGGAGGAGGAGGAGGAGGAGGGAGGGAGCCCCATGCGATGTCTTGGTCTTTTCCGTGCGGGGTTCTCGGGCGTCCCGACCTTTTCTCCACGGGGCCGGTTTTCCACCCCGAGCGTCCAAGTATCCGTTTCCTTTGCGAGGTGATCCAGTTTGGGTGTTGCTGTTGTCATCGTCGCCGTCGTCGTCGCCGTCGTTGCCGTCGCCGTCGGGCGACCTCGTCGACCTCGTCAATGACGATGCTGCCGCCGTCGTCGCCGTCGTCGTCGTCACCGCTGCTGCCGTCGTCGCTTCCGTCGTTGTCGCGCGCGCATCGCTCGAGAAAGATACTACGCATGGCCTGCGACGACGTCGGCAAGGACCGCAGAAAATCTATCAGGAGGGAAGATGGGGCCAAATCCTTTCAAAATGGTTCACCCCGGATCTGTTTCTCACGGTCCCGGGGGCCGAGAAGAAAACAACAAAAAGTATCCACGGTCCCGAGGCCCGCCAGAGCCCTTGGAGACCGAAAGCGGCGAACAACCGCCCATCGTGTTCGCCTTCACGACGCGAGCATGTCTGGGACTGGGAAGGTGATCAGGCCGGGCCTGCTGGCGCCGTTGGCCGAGCGGGTTCGGTTCCACCCTAGGGGCCGGGGCAGCCACCCGGGCCGAGGTGGGTCCCGGAGGAGGAGGAGGAGGAGGACCAGTGTAAACCCGAGAGTCATCAACGATGTTGGAATATACTTTCCCTCCAAGCTCCCTATTCATAGGTCCCTACGAGGGCTCCTTTCCATTGAGGGAACTGCCTCGTTGGAAGACAACCGTTTGAAGACGCGGAAGCAGGCCAAAACATTGTTCTCGGGATTCGAACGACACGGATTAACCTGACTATTTCGTCTTGACGATCTTGAATCGTGCCAGAACGCCATATACTGCGAATCAACGCACTTGTTGCACCCTCAAAATCCTGAATCCTTCCAAAGCGCCATTTCTGGTACGTTGATCATGGGAATCCGTGAAATTGTTCCAAGTGTTTGAAACGAATGCGCGCGGCGCTAGGGCGAGAGCCACATTTCGAAAAGGAACCGCCATCAATCCGTGAAGCTCCTACAAAAGTTTAAAACGAACGTGCGTGGCGCTGAGGCGAGAGCCACATTTTGAATCCAGGTGACCCTCAATCCGCGAAGCTCTTGCAACTTGTTTAACGAATGCACGCGGCGCTGAGGCGAGTGCCACATTTTGAAAAACGGGCGGCCCTCAATCCGTGAAACCCTTGCAAATGTTTAAAACGAATCTGCGCGGCGCCAAGGCAAGAGCCACATTTTGAAAACCACCCGCCCTCCACCTGTGAAACTGTTGCCGATGTTTAAGTTTCAGGGTCCTTAATGGTGAGGAAGTCTCAGGCGAAACGCCCAGCCCCGCCCTAAAATGTTGGCCTCGGTGTGCGACAGGGAGAAGTTATTGATGAGGAGGAGGAATGGAGGAGCAGGAGGAGGAGGAGGAGGAGGAGGAGGAGGAGGAGGAGAAGGGGAGGAGGAGGAGGAGGAGGAGGAGGAGGAGGAGGAGGAGGAGGAGGAGGAGGAGGAGGAGGAGAGGAGGGGGAGGAGGAGGTGGAGAAGGAGGAGGAGCAGGAGGAGGAGGAGGAGAAGTTGTGCGGCGCGGCGTCCGCGGAGCGCATGCTTCGACGGAGCGGTAGGGACAGGCAAAATTGGACCAGATAGACGCCAGGAGGGGTTTGGGGATCGATTTTGAAAGGGTTTGGCCCCATCTTCCCTCCTGACAGATTTTCTGCGGTCCCTGCCGACGTCGTCGCAGGCCATGCGTAATATCTTTCTCGAGCGATGCGCGCGCGACAACGACGGAAGCGACGACGGCTGCGACGACGAGGACGACGGCGACATCGTCAACGACGAGGTCGGCGACGACGCCGGCGACGGCGACGACAGCGACGACGACGACGACGGCGGCGATGCGCCCAGACTGGATCGCCTCGCAGAAAAAGACGGACTTGGATACTCGGACCCACGTTGTCGATCCACATCGTCCTCCGTACTCCTCTCTGTCTTTGGCCCACCCTCGTCGTCCTCCTCCTCCTACATTTGGGGTCCGCCCTCGCCCTCTCCCTTCCCGTTCTCCCCCCCACCCGCTTTGTTTCTGGTGTTTTGGCGCGATGACTTGTCTGATGTGTTGCCTCTTCGTCTTGGCCGCGCAGAGGGCCAATTCGAGCTGTCCGAGCAGCAGCTAAGTCTGTTGCGAACGAACACCACGCCTTAGCCGATAGCCGATTTTTCTACCCCTGAGCCGAACCTAAAGATCACCTTGATTTGACCTGACAGTGCAGAAATCGTCTCATCCCTCATCCGTCATCCCTGCTCATTTCCCCTCCTGATGGTTAGCCTGGCCAAAGGCGGCGCTGCCGCCGCCCACGCCTACGCGATCAGGCAGGGGCTGCAGATCGCACAGCAGGGGGCAGCGGCTCAGGACTGCACCACCTGCTCCCCCCATCCTCCATCTGCTCAATCCTCTTGCTCCACTCCTCCCCCTTGTTTTAGATGCTGTACCTTACTCATCCTACCCCTGTTCACTCCTGCTCATTACTCATATTCCACCCTCCTCTCTGATATCCATCTGCCTCCGTCAAGCCGCACCACCGTACCAGCGTAGCAGGGAGGAGGCTGAGTTTTAGACCGATCCACCCTGGTGCCATGCCTGAAGTGGTGCGGGTACTAGACACCCCTTCGCTGTCCGCATCGTCGGTGTCCCCCTCATCCACGGTTCCTCCTCATCCCCCCTCGTCCTCCCTCTCCCACCAGGAAGTCTCACACATTGGAGTTGCACTCTGGGCTCCTTCTGAGCCTACCGGGGGCCTCCGAGGGGTCAGTCGAGAACCCGTCCGGGGCCCATCGGAGGGCTCGGGGCGTTCTGGTCCGCGACGTCTCTACAGAGCTCTCCCGAAGAGGCTCGGTTAGGCCATGTGAAAGGACGTCTGGGGGTGTCTTGAGGACGTCTTGGAGCCCTCTTGTGGCGTCTGTGGGAGCTATCAGGCAGGATTGCGGCGTTCCTAAGACCGTATCCTCATCCTGCTCCTTTGGATATGGTTCATACTCACTGTTATTATTTTGTTTGGGTGATTCGTACATCAGCCTCTTCCACGCCCTACCCTCCGATACCTTTTTGCCGCTTACATCTGGAATACGCGTATACATGTGTATATATATATAAATAAGTGTGTGCATTCATGCATACATATACATATACATATATGTAAAAACATGTACATACATGCATAGATGTATACATACGTACAGTCATATATACACATGCACACATATCAGACTGTAACATGTCATACCATAGTATAACATGCCATATCATTACATACATGCATGCATACATGCATACACACACATACATAACAGAACATAACATAACAGAGCATAACATGGCATAACATAACATAATATAACATGCCTTAACATGCCACAACATACCATACCATAGCATAGCATACCATAACACAATATACATACGTACATGCATACAGACAGACAGACAGACAGACAGGCATGCATGCATACATGCATACGTTCATGCAGGCATGCATACATACATGCATACATACATACATACATACATACACACACACATACACACACATACACACATATACCCATCCCAGTAAATCCGTCGGAATTTTGGCGGGCTTGCGTGGACCCCGGTTCCCCGAGCTCCCCGGGGGCCCCGAAAGGGCACCCGAACGCCCCCCGAGAGCCCCCAAACGGCGCCAAAACACTCCTGAAGAGCCCCTACGCGACCCATGGGGGTCCCCAGACTATCAAAGACGGCCCTCGGGCGGCCCGGGCTGCTCCCTGACGGCAACCACGGCTCCAAGAGGGCCCCAGGGGACCCCAGAGAGGGCCCCAGGGGACCCCCGAGAGATCCCCATCCAGCAATAGTCGCCACATTCCATTCGGAAAACTGACGTTTTCAGCAAACTCGCCTTTTGGGTCGTCCCCGCGTCCACGACAGCCCTGGTGGCCTCCAAAATCGTCCCACGACCGGCCAAAAATCTCCCAAGAAGGCCTCCTGATGGCCCATGACGGCCTACGGCCCAAGATGGACCCAAGACGGCCCAAGAGGCGTTCAAAATGGCCCAAGACGGACGGCCCGACAAGCGTCCTACAAGGCCCCAGAGGGCCCCAGGAGCCACCCCAGGAGTTCCAAAAGGGTTTCCTACAGGGCCGCCCGCGGCAGGGCAACGCCATTCGAACAGTCATCGCGAGATCTACGGCGGTCGCTGACTGCGTCGCACACCCCAGAGCGCACAGCCAAAGTTCTATCCCCTCACCCCCGCGGATTGAATCCACGGTCCGCATTAGTACATGTACACCTATCTATATATATATATATATATATATATATATATATATACTACCCTGGCGACGTACCCAACCCCTGCGCAATGCGGGGCATGAGTAGCTTGGGAGACGTTGTACGGAGGTGTTGACGTGACATGGGCGCATATTTTTTCTGCGAGCGGCATTCGTGAGGCTCGCAGCCCCCCAAGGATTGCGATGTCCCGCTCAGATCTGCCTGGTGCCTCGCTCCGCTGGACCCACCAGCAGCCCTCGAAAGTGGCGACAGTTTCGCAGATCGCAGCCCCCCAGGGACGGCGAGGTCCCGCTCAGATCCGCGCGGTGCCCCACTCCGCAGGACCCACCAGCAGCGCTCGAAAGTGGCGACAGTTTCGCAGATTGCAGCCCCCCAGGGACGGCGAGGTCCCGCTCAGGTCCGCACGGTGCCTCACTCCGCAGGACCCACCAGCAGCGCTCGAAAGTGGCGACAGTTTCGCAGATCGCAGCCCCCCCAGGGACGGCGAGGTTCCGCTCAGGTCCGCTCAGTGCTTCATTCCGCAGGACCCACCAGCAGCGCTCGAAAGTGGCGACAGCTTCGCAGATCGCAGCTCCCCAGGGACGGCGAGGTCCCGCTCAGATCCGCGCGGTGCCTCATTCCGCAGGACCCACCAGCCCACCAGCAGCGCTCGAAAGTGGCGATCGTTTCGTAGATCGCAGCCCCCCAGGGACGGCGAGGTCCCGCTCAGATCCGCACGGTGCCTCACTCCGCAGGACCCACCAGCAGCCTTCGAAAGTGGCGACAGCTTCGCAGATCGCAGCCCCTCAAGGACGGCAAGGTTCCCCTCGGATCTGCTCGCTGCCCCACTCCGCAGGACCCACCAGCAGCCCGCGAAAGCGGCGACAGCTTCGCAGATCGCAGCCCCCCAGGGACGGCGAGGTCCTGCTCAGGTCCGCGCGGTGCCTCACTCCGCATGACCCACCAGCAGCGCTCGAAAGTGGCGACCGTTTCGCAGATCGCAGCCTCCCAGGGACGGCGAGGTCCCGCTCAGATCCACGCGGCGCCTCACTCCGCAGGACCCACCAACAGCCCTCGAAAGTGGCGACAGCTTCGCAGATCGCAGCCCCCCAGGGATGGCGAGGTCCCGCTCAGGTCCGCGCGGTGCCTCACTCCGCAGGACCCACCAGCAGCGCTCGAAAGTGGCGATCGTTTCGCAGATCGCAGCCCCCCAGGGATGGCGAGGTCTAATTTGGGCCCGCGTGTGGCGTCACTGTGCTGGGCCCCCCCAGCAGGCCTCGAAAGTGGCGACAGTTTCACAGATCGCAGCCCCCCAGGGATGGCGAGGCCTAATTTGGGTCCGCGCGTGGCGTCACTGTGCTGGGCCCCCCAGCAGCCCTCGAAAGTGGCGACAGTTTCACAGATCGCAGCCCCCCAGGGATGGCGAGGTCATGTTTAGAGGTCCGCGCGTGGCGTCACTGTGCTGGGCCCCCCAGCAGGCCTCGAAAGTGGCGACAGTTTCGCAGATCGCAGCCCCCCCCCCCCCCCCCCAGGGATGGCGAGGTCTAATTTGAGTCTGCCCGTGGCGTCAACTGTGCTGGGCCCCCCAGGGATGGCGAGGTCCTGTTTGGATCCGCGGTGAGTACCCTCTCTGCTGGCCTCCCCAGCAGCCCTCGAAAGTGGCGACAGTTTCACAGGTCGCAGCCCCCCAGGGATGGCGAGGCCCTGTTTGGATCCGCGGTGAGTACCCTCACTGCTGGCCTCCCCAGCAGCCCTCGAAAGTGGAGACAGTTTCACAGATCGCAGCCCCCCAGGGATGGCGAGGTCATGTTTGGATCCGCGGTGAGTACCCTCTCTGCTGGCCTCCCCAGCAGCCCTCGAAAGTGGCGACAGTTTCACAGATCGCAGCCCCCCAGGGATGGCGAGGTCCTGTTTGGATCCGCGGTGAGTACCCTCTCTGCTGGTCTCCCCAGCAACCCTCGAAAATGGCGACAGTTTCACAGATCGCAGCCCCCCAGGGATGGCGAGGTCCTGTTTGGATCCGCGGTGAGTACCCTCTCTGCTGGCCTCCCCAGCAGCCCATCGAAAGTGGCGACAGTTTCACAGGTCGCAGACCCCCAGGGACGGCGAGGTCCTGTTTGGATCCGCGGTTAGTACCCTCTCTGCTGGCCTGACCAGCAGCCCTCGAAAGTGGCTACAGTTTCACAGATCGCAGCCCCCCAGGGATGGCGAGGTCCTGTTTGGATCCGCGGTGAGTACCCTCTCTGCTGGCCTCCCCAGCAGCCCTCGAAAGTGGCGACAGTTTCACAGATCGCAGCCCCCCAGAGATGGCAAGGTCCACTTTGGATCTGCGGGCCTCGCCAGCAGCCCTCGAAACTGCCGGCAGTTTCACAAATCGCAGCCACCCATGGGAGGGAGAGGTCTCGCTCAAATCTGCGCGGTGCCTCAACCCACACGGCGAGAGGAGACAGGAGGGAGGCGGGAGGCGGGAGGAGCAAGACGCGACCACGGTGCTCTATTCAAAACGAATACCCAACCAAGGAGGGTTGGGAATAAAATGACATATATATATATATATATATACATACATACGCACATCATTATGTCCCCGTCCCTCCTCCATCTTCTTCATTGTTAGTGCCACCAGCTCATCCTCGACCTCGTCCCTCTTGTCACTCACTGCTCCTCGTCCTCCACCTCTTCATCCTGGTCCTCCCCTCGTCCCCGTCTGCGAGCAGGAGCGAGGGGGAGCGGGGGGCGGGCGCGGCGCTGCCCAGTCGGTAGCAAGGGGGCGGCGAGGGCCGGGTCGAACGGGGAGCGAAAGCCAGGTGAGCGGGAGGCGAAATTTATACATGCCCATTGCTCCCTGGCCAGTCCCATCCTGGGCCCAGGAGCTGCGCGCACGCCCTCGTGGCCAAACCAGGAGGGCGTGGCGCACACACCGCTGCCAGGTTCAAAGATGGGCCTGGCCAGAAAACAGGGGATACGCACAGGCGTCGTCGCCTTCGGTCACCCGCGAGGGCGCGAAGATCACATCACCGCGCTTCGCGCCACAGTCTTCGCCAGAGCGGCTGCCCCTCTCCAAAGTGGAGGCGCGGGGGGGCGAAGATAGCCGCGGGGCGCGATGCGCGATGCACGATGTTAGGTGAGTTAGTGGGTTGATCCGCGTGAGGAGAGTGCTGAATTGGACGCGGGGGTGCCATGCGAGCGCGCCCACTGGGGGCCATAGGGTGGAACACTCGTTGGGTCTGCGTGACGGGCGTACCGAAATGGGCGCACAAAACGTACGAGGTGCGCGCTGAAACGGCAGGGTGGCGCCGCCATGCGGGCGGTACCAACGGAGGTTGTAGGTGGAGCTTCTCATGGGTCCACGATTATCGTGAGAGCTGTCCCGGACTGGGCGCGACGCCGCGACGCGGTCACGCCCATTGAGGCCGCCGGTAGAGCTCCTTGTGGGGCCACGATTTTCGTGAGGGGCGTGCCGAACTGGGCGCGGCGCCGCTATGCGGCCATCCCCTGTGATGCCGTCGATGGAGCCCCCCATGGGCGCACGATCGTGGCGAGGTGCGTGCAGAATTGGGCGCGGCGCGGCGGCGGAGAAGGAACAGAAAAACGAAAAGGAGGAGGAGGAGGAAGAGGACGAGGAGGAGGAGGAGGAGAAGGAGGCGAAGGAGGAGGAGGAAAATGGGGAACTCGAGTTCAATTGGGGTTCAGCGGATGCGGCGCCACCGACGCCGTCTGTGCAAAGCGGAGGGGAAGGCGTTGAAGAAAGGAGAGGCAGCGGTTGCTGCCGAGGGGGAGGATGGACTCGTCGTTGTCGCGCCTATAGCGCTCAACGGCCCCGCGACCCCAACCCCGACGACGCCGCGGCCTTCGCCGACGACCAATGGGCCGACGCGGCCCCTCCTTTGCGGCCCCAGTGGTAGATGAGTGCGCGGCAGTGCTCGCGCTGGTCGACCCGCGTCGACCGCGAGGCTTTTTTCTCCCGCGTGAGGTTGGGGGAACCTCAAGAGGTCCTCATCGTACTGCGCAAATCCTGCGCTTGGGCCCCACTGCCGCCTGTTTCGCGGGACCGTTGCTTGCATCGCTCAGGCGCACACTGGGTGTTTTTGGTTGGGTCCATCCCAGTCTGTCGGAATCATGTGCGACTTGCTTGCGGAAGGTCGGTTGGTGCGCAGAGTGCCAGGGTCACGACGATGTTTCATCATCGGCACGATACTTGCACGATGTATGGCCTAGTGTAGGCTTTCCTCGTTCGAAGGCCGACGCCTGTTCTTTCATTGCAGGGAGCGCAACGGACCGTGTTTCCCCCCCGCCCCGTCCTCACACACGAAAGAAACGAACAGACTGCAAATCCTGAGTTCGGTTATGTCGCGCACGTGCTAGGTCAGGCGGGTTCCATCTGTCTTCATCACCCAACCCGAATATTCCCCAGGGCACCAACAAAAGGCGGAGGAGGTCAAGAAATTGCTGGCACAGAAGAGGAGCTCCAAGGAGCAGCTTGCGGAGGCGGCCGGCAATGTTCCCCAGAATGTTCTGGGAAACGTCCGCCAGAACATTCTGATCATTGACTTGGAGGAGCAGAGGGAACAACAGGTAAATAAGAAGCCACGACGACGCAAGTATGAGCTACGACGATAGGGGCGACAGTACATGGTTTTGCGGCGACGAGATGTAGCGACCGACTGGCTCGAGGACGTTGCGCGGCTTTCGCGACTCTTGCCAGGGCGAGACACGGGGCCGAACACTTAACAAATACCGCCCTGCCGCGGCGGCGTTGCCCGCAGCAGCAGGCTTGCACTCCCCGTTCCGATTGACGTGGAAGGAGGGAAGGATGGAACCAATGTATGGCCCGGATATCGTTGACCGACTCAATATGATACATGAGTTATTTTGCCTCCTGGGCACGGACTAGAAAGTTGCATACCCTCGCGACCTGGCCACAGGAAGGCCTGACCTGGTATCGGAACGAGCTGAACAGCTAAACATCACGGGTCCATATTTCCGTCGGGCTGCCAAGCGCCGAGTGTCGCCACCATGGTCTCTGCCCATGGAGCTCTTTTGGACGCCGTTCCATTATGGCCGCCGTACGTCCGAACGCTTCAGAGGCCTGGGGCATGAGGGACCAGAACTTGACATTCGGAATATCAGCTATTTGACTATTGCGTTATCCTGAAGAAATATCGAAGCAGCCAACCCCGTCCTGGTGCGGAGACTGCCCATGGGGGTAGCCACCGCGTGGAAGCGGGTCGCCCAAGTAGCCTGTTCATTCGGCCAGGCTTTCATGGCATCCAGCTTGGATCCGGCGGATCGGAATACAGGACATGTTTTCGCGCGCGGGTGTGTTCTTCGTCGCCAGCGTGATACACCAACGATGGTGCAGCAGCATGTCGATAGGCGTCTCCGTCGCTTCGGCACTCGTCACATCAAGGGCCGCGAAGATACACCGAATGCATTCGGAAGCCGCGAAGATATATCGAATGCATTCGGCAGAAGCTCCAGAGAGGCCCATCCAGGAAGCCACGCAGAACTTCATGACGGAACGCAAATCGCGGTTCGGAACCCAACGCTTGGAATTTATTTTTGCGTTCCATGGGCCTGGACGGGCGCTTCTGTCGCCGAAGATGGGGCGCGGGCGTTGCAGGGTGGCCCTTGGGCGGTGAAAGTGTTCATTCTGGACATCGGCAAGGTTCTCCAACGGGCCCAGGAGGAGTTCATGAAGACCAGGGGTGCTCACGGCGCAGCGGCGCAGCATCGTTGCCCCAGGCAACCAAGACGAGGAGCAGGTGATAGATGTGTCTTTCCGTTCGCACATGGACGACGAGGTTGCAAAGATATTGGTAGACGCTACCGTTCGCATTGGTTTCGGTTCAACAATCTGCCGACAGCCTTTGCAATTCGACAGAGTCTTCACACGCCGTTACGGAAGCCACAACCGCAACTTGGACCCGACGAAACATGAAACATTGTTTGCACGATTTGGAGAAGGTTGCGATGGGCGTCGAGCCAACGTGCGTCGGCGGAGTGTTCGTCTAGCAGGAGTGGCCGAGCGCCCGCGGTAATAAAGCTCCCCATTTATCCCGTGAGCGTTGATAATCCCGGGCCAGGATGGATTTAGTTGGAGGAGAGGGGCGGCGAGGTCGAACTTCGTTATCGCCGGGCAAAGCACGAACCGAAGTTGCTGTCTTCGCGGCAGGGCTGCAGGATTCTCGCCACATCAGCTCTCCCAAATCAAAAACGCGCGGCAAGGGCGTTGGGTTCTCACCATCTTAGGTTTTCCCAGTCACGAACGCGCGGCAGGGCCATTGGATCCTCACCAAAGTTTTCCAAAGTCACGAATGTGTGACAGAGCCACGGGAATCTCATGAGTAATCGTTTCGCTCACTCCGCCGTCCCATCTCGCATCGCGGTGGCTGCATGGCGGCGTGCTCGCACCCAGGGGGGACGGCAGGGCATGCAGGTTGTCCTCGAGGAGATATTTGGAGACGTGGCCCGCACCCTTTCGAAGAGAGCCGGTAGAGGGCGCCAAGATGGTTCAGGAGAGCTCCAACTGAATTTCGCGACGTACTTGGGTTGTGGATCAGAGTCCTCGCTGATGCTTCTTGGGGTCTCGGAGGGCTCGAGAGCTTCTGGGGGGCAGTTTGAGGCCTCTTAGGGGTTCCTGGGTGCTTGTTTTAACGCTTATGTTATTGAATCGCTTCACTCACTCAAGAGGCCCTTTTCGCATCACTGCGTGCTCGTGGTGGTGTGCTCGTGCCTGAGGGGGGCGCTAGGGCAGGCAGGATTGCCCTCGAGTGGACCTTCGAAAAGTCTCGCGCCCTAGCGAAGAAAGCCGATAGATCGCCAGCGCCAGGATGGCCCAAGATAAATCCGGTTGAGTTTCGAGACGCGCTTGGGTTGTGGGTCGAAGTTCTCGCGCATGTTGATTGGAGTCTCCTCGAAAGGTTTTCGGGTGCCTTTGGGGAGCGTTTTTGAAGTCTCTGGGGAGTTTCTTGGGGGCCTCTGGAGGTTTCCTGGGGGGCCTGTTGGGAGTTTCGGGAACCTCTGGGGGGTTCCTGGGCGCTTCTGCGGGCCCGAGAAAAGAAAATGCCCGTTCGGGCTCCCGGTCTGGACACCCTCTTTGGGAACATCCGCGTGACAGGGTCATAGGGTCTCATCATTTCAGTTTTAATAAGTCACGCATGTGTGGCAGGACTTTACGGTGTTCCCCCTATTTCAAATTTCCCACGTCCTGAACGCGTGGCCGTGCCATTGCCTTCTCACAACTTCAGCCTTCCCAAGTCACGAACGCGTGAGAATGCGATGGTTTTCTCACAACGTCAGTTTTCCCAGGTCACGAACGCGTGGCAGGGCCATTGGATTTTCACCACTTCAGATTTCCCAAGTCACGAATTCCTCGTCCTCCTCCTGTTCCTCTTCCTCCTCCTCATTATCCTCCGCCTCCTCCGCCTCCTCTTCCTCCTCATACCAAGCAGGTCTCCGCGATGAGTTGTTTGGCCATGGGGTCGGCCCGCTGGGCTGCCCAGGCCGCGGTCACTCCGCGGGGAGGAGGGGGAGGAGGAAGAGGAGGAAGAGGAGGGAGAGGAGGAGGAGGAGGAGGAGGAGGAGGAGGAGGAGGAGAAGGGGGAGGGGGGGGAGGGGATGCGAGAGCGGCCTGGGCCGCGGGCCCTTCCGCGTCGGGGCTGCAGCGGGAGCGGATGTCAAGGGACGAGCACTGTGTGCACAGGGGTTCCACTCCTCCTCCACTTCCCCGATCCTGCCCCATCGCGGCTGCGATCCCGTTCCCCTTTTCCCCGATCTTGCTCCCACTTTTCTCCGATCCTGCTCCCCCCGTCCCTCCCTCCCTCCCTCCCTCCCTCCGCCCACGGACAGTGCGCCCGTCGAGGGCGCACTGCCCGTGGGGGGAAGGGGGGCGGGGGCGTTGGTGCCCCCAGTTGCCTTCAGGACCCGGAGTCCCAGGCGCACCCCCTGGCGGCACCGCCTCCGCAGGCGGCGCGGACGGACTGGACTCAGACACGCGGTGACGACGACGACGACGACGACGACGACGACGACGACGACGACGACGACGACCGCGACGACGACGACGACGACGACGACGACCGCGACGACGACGACGACGCCGACGACGACGACGACGACGCCGACGACGCCGACGATAAAGACGACAAAGACGACGATGATGACGGCGCGACGCCGGCGGCGGCGTCGACGGCGACGGCGACGGCGACGGCAACGGCGACGGCGACGGCGACGGCGACGGCGACGGCGACGGCGACGACGACGACCAGAATGGACGACGGCGACCGACGACGTGGATGGTTGACGAGGATGACGACGAAAAATGAGCGCGGTGGCACGCTTCGGTTATGCGCGTGCGCAACGAGCTACAATATAAGACGAGGCAGGAGTCATGGTGGAATGGTGTCGTGGTGGAATGGTGTTGGCAGGAAAAAGAATCAATACATGAAAGAGAGACCTAGGCCCGCCCCATCCCAAGACCCCATGCCCCCTAGAGTCTTTCCAACCCTGAGTACCTCGAGGAGTTCCCTTCACCCTGCCTCCCATTCCTCCTGCCTCAGGAGACGTGTCCCATCGGGACCCCTTCCCAACCAAGTGCAGGCGCGCTTCAAAATGCAGGCACAGTGCAGCGGAAGGTTCCCGGCCAAGCTTCGGGGGGCGTGTTCCGCCTCGCGCACGTTGCTTGGGCGCGTCTCTCCCGATTTTCCCTGAGGGGCTTCGGGGGACATCTGACGACGCCCAAAAACGGGGTCGTCTGCGCCGACATGGGCGCGAAAGCTGCCCGCGTCAGGTCGCGCGTAGGCGCCCTCGTCTCCGATGTGGCGTGCCGCGACGGCGGCCCGCGTAAGTCGCCGCGTACGGTCGCCGTGCCATCTCGCGTAAGACCTTTTTTTCGGAGGTGGACAGAACCCCCACCCTGACACTTCGATTGGTGAATTGTCCGTTTCCGGTTCTCGAGAAGGCGCCGCGGCCGTTATTTTCCAGGCTTGCGCCCGCCAGGTTTGGGCACCACATCGTAATCGTTAAACCACGTGTTACTAAAGGGGGTTCTGTCCATCCCCGAGTTTTGATCGTCGCTCATCTGAAGTCATCCTCCTGGAGAGGCTTCCGGGAACAGGACCCGCTATTGTGTGAAGCACGATCGTGCACAGCAGCAGGCCCGAGGCCTCACGTGTCGCACCGGCGCCTCGACGGCGGGCCGCTCCCCCGCGGGCAAGTTGGGCGCGCGGCTTTTCGGGCGCGAGGCGTGTGCGGGGGAGACGGTCAGGTCGACAGTGCGCTTTGGAGTCCCCTTCCCGTCAGTTGGGAAGTTGGAAAGCCCTCGCCCTGCCGTTGGCGGAGGTGCTTGTGCTGCGCCACCCGCCGGGAGAGGAGCCCTGGGTTTCTCCTCGGGAGAGGTGACTTGGGGTGTGCGCTCATTCGCTCCCGATGCCTCTGCGGAAACAATGCCCGTGCACGCGGCGACAGATGATTGCAAAGCGGCTGAACGCCGCACGGAGGGAGATGATGGATGAGGACGAATGAAAGACCTAGACTCCTGACATCGTGTTTCTGGCACAGCGTGACCCCTCCGAGGTCTCGACCTCCTCCCCGGGACCAGCGTTTTGTCTCGATCATTTTTTTGACGGAGGCAGGGGCCCCCCGGGGTCCGAAGCGGGGGGTCGAGGTCCAGGGGTCGACGACCAACTCCTGGACCAGGAGGCGCTCTGCTCAGGTTTCGAGAGGACGGCGGCCGTGGCGGCCAGAAGCCTCCGGGAGGCCAGGCGGGGAGACGGTGCCGTCCTCGAGCCTCGAGCCGCAAAGTTCGGCAGCGAGTGCGAGCCCCTCGCGGAGCCGCAGAGGAGTGCGATTTTGGAGGAGGTTGGGCAAGGGTCTCCACCCCACCAGGGATGGGGTCACGGTCGACCTCTCCACTTGTTTACCCATCTAATGGTAAGTCGGGCGTGTCCCTCTACAGGAGGAACATCTAAAAGTGGTAAAAAAAAAAAAAAAACAAAAAAAAAAAAAAAAAAAAAAAAAAAAGCCTGGGGACGATGTCTGGACTATGTTTGAGCAGGTGCTTCGATTATGCTTGATGCGTCGCCCAAAATCCCCCATGTAGGGGGACAGGCCCGACCTAGATCGAATTGGGCCTTCGACCGTGGATGCCAAGACAAGTCCTCGGGCGTCGAGCCTCGATGGGGGCGCCCTCTCTCCCTCCATCGCCAGGCCCCTCCCTTCCTGCAGGGCGACGGGGCCCAACTCGGACGGCGGGACTGCCTCCTCCCTCCCTCCCTCCCCTCCCTCCCTCCCTCCCTCCCTTGAGGCGCACAGTCGAGGCTGATTTGGTGGGCCGACCCGCCCAGAGCAAGTGTGTGTGTGTGCTTTTTGTGTCCTGTGTGTTAGCGGCCCGTGCCTTCTGCATGCGTGTGACAATCTGGCCCTCGGAAGGCTCCTGCGTCCTCCCGCGTGTCCTCCCCAATCTAGTTCGACTGGAGCTTAGGTGTCAAGCCCTTCGGATGTTTGGCTTGTCGACGCACGCGCACTGCGACGTGCACCTCCCCCTTCTCCCATCGGAGGCAACAACAGGGGGGGATAGGCATGGGGGGATGCGTCGACCTGGAATAGTTGACACACCGACGATGCATCGCTGATGTCAGGGTGGTGCATCGAAGATGTACGGACAATCCATGGGGCGGTCTGCATCGACGATACATCAGCGATGCATCGGCCATTCGAGGCCGATGCATCCGCCCTACAACGGAAACCCGTGCCAGGAGACGCCTTGCTTGCATCCAGGGTGCCCTGGGTTTCTGGGGTTTCGATTGCTTTATGATAGAAAGCGTGATGCTCCTGTAGCGGGTTCAGGGCTGGGTTTATTGTGACAGGTTTCTTGTGGTCGAGCCCTTATTGTACGCCTACCCCCCTCTCGTTGACCCCAGCTCGGCCACGCGCAGAGGGGGGTAGGGGGAGGGGGGAAGGCTTATTGGAAGGAGGCTGCTTCTTAGAAGGCGCGGGCCTTATTCATCTGTCTGTGTATCTATACATATATATATATACACACATAAGGCTGGCGCCGTCTAAGAAGCAGCTTCCTTCTAAGAAGCCTTCCCCCCTCCCCGCCCCTGGCCTCGCAAAGCCATCTGGGCCGCCCTGGGGCCTTCGGTGCTGTTAGGGGGGGTCGGCAGGAGTTGTCTGGGATGGTCTGGGCGGGGGGCTTCGGGTCATCTAGGGGCGGTGGTCTTGGGCACAACGCCATTCGAGACTTCAGTATTTTCGCACAGAGCGTGTCAGCACAAAGCGTGTCGGAGACACCTCTGTTGTGCTCGGCAGTCTGGAGCCTCAGGCTCTGTGATCGCGGCCAACCCCCTTTGCCCATCCCGCCTAGGCGGGCGGCGCGGAAGCGCAGGCGCCCAAGCAGCCCTTGGCGGCGGCGCGGGCGTTGGCAGCGCCAGGCGGCCCGGGGCCAGCTCGAGGACCGAGGATCGGAGATTTCCTCCTCCTCCTCCTCCTTCCTCCTTCTCCTCCTCCTTCCTCCTCCTCCTCCTCCTTCCTCCTCCTCCTTCTCCTCCTCCTCCTCCTCCTCCTCCCTCCTCCTCCGCCGCCGCCGCCGCCGCCTCCTCCTCCTCCTCCTTCTCGGGGGTCAATGCAAACGGGGGTCACCCAGAACACCGGATCTTGCAGGATCCTGCAGGGCCAGGGGTGCTCTGGCTCTGACCAGGGCTAGCGCGCAGGATCCTGGAGGATTTTGCAGGATCCTGCAAGGCCTGACTGAGCCGGGTTGGGATTGACCCGGGTCAGTGCGTCCCTGAGAGGATCTCGGACACACGCAGAAGGCGTCATGAGATGGCCCCGAGAGGCGCCCAGGAGGCCCCAAGGAGGCTTCCAAGGAGGCCCCCAAGAGGTCCCCCAGGTGCCCCCAAGAGGTCCCCCAGGTGCCCCCAAGAGACCACCAAGAGGCCCCAAGAGGCTCCCCCGAGGCAACCAAGACGCTTCAAGAGGCCTCTGGCACTGCCCAGAGAACCCCCCGACGACCCAAGAGGCCTACAAGAAGCTCTCAAGAGATATCCGAAGAGAGTACGAAAGACGTTCGAAGAGACTTCGAGGATCTCGGACACGCAGAAGGCATCAAATCGTGGGAGCCTCGTGAATCCTCGTAGTTCCGTTTTCAGCGTCGGTTAGCGTCGGATAATCGATGAGATAGCGCCGATGTAGCGTCGATATAGCGTCGAGTATTTCGGAAACGCGCAGGAGACACCACAAGAGAGCCCCAAGAGGCGCCCAGGAGGCCCCAAGAGGCCCCCAAGATGTCCCCGAGAGGCTCCCAAGAGGTCCCCAAGAGGAGGCTCACAAGAGACCCCGAAAGGCCCCAAGAAGAGGCCCCCGGGACACACGCTGAAGGCATCAAATCATGAAAGCTTGGTATACCCTCGCAGTTCTGCCTCAAGAGTGCACTAGTGTTGATTAGCGTTGGGTAATCGATGAGATAGCACCGGATTAGCGTCGTGCAGCGTCGATCAGCGTCGGTTCAGGGTCGATTAGCTTTAATTCGCAAGAGCCAATAAGATTGCACGGGAGGCCCCCTTGAGTCGCCGCGGAAAACGAAGAAAGCACCACGTTCTGTTCATGATCGCGACGGGAAGTTTTTAGTTGTGTTCGCCCTCTCGGGGCCTTCGCTGGGCCCCAGGACCGTCAACTGAACTACTGATGAAGAAGTAGGCCCCGGGGACCGGGGACCGGGACCGGATCTCTTGGCATATATAATGGAAGGAGAGAGGAGGAGGAGGAGGTTGAGGAGGAGGAGGAGGTATATACCACCACCGTGCTTGGCCAAGGGCCACACGGCGCACGCTTGCACCGCCTTCAGGGCCCATGATGGTTCTGGCCAGACGTGATGGTAATGTGCAGTCGAGGCTGATTAGTAGGTCGACCCTGCCAAATCAAGAGTGCCTTCGTGTCCTGTGTTTCGCGACCGCGCGACCCATTCCTGTGGCAGTGTGGCCCTCGGAAGAGTCCTGTGTCCTCTTGCGTGTCCTCTCCAATCAGCCACGACTGTACCCGCCTCCATTTCGGCTCACCCCTCGCACGTTGCGTGGCCCCATATGAAGCTTCACCGAAGCCTCCAGCGGCAGGGCTCGCATGCGGTATAGATGCCTTCTGTCGAGGGCACCCGGCAGTTCGGAAGAAGTTGCGAAGGCCGATGTATACTACCATGTTGGGATTTGGGGGATGCAAGTTTGGTGCCATGTGGCCGTCGGAGACGACTAAGGATACAGGTCGAGGCCCTGTTGTTTTGAGAAAATCGCACCGTTGGATGCGAAGGGGGTCGAGGACACATCCCCGAGGATCGAGCTGTTCTTGATTCACGTCCCTGTTTTTCGCTTCCTCCTGGAACCTCTGCGAAGACCAATCGATGATTGAATATCGAGGGGGCCCCAGGGGCCTCCAGAGACCTCAACGTCGACTATATTCTTGACGTTTCGCGTATCCCCTCCAGTGTCGGTGATGAGGTTGCCCCTCTTCACGCTTGCGCCGACACGATGTTTTGGCATTTGTGTCGCCTACTTCACGGATGTCGTCTGGGTGCGCTTGTCGGTCTAGTTCGTCTTTGACGGTGCTGTTTGCCTGACTCACACCGAGCGATCGACCTCTGCGTGTTTATGGTCGCGCCGCCGCGCCATTTTGGCTGCGCTTACTTGCTGGTCGCCACCGGGATTTCCAACGCCACCAGGTTTGGGAGTATCGGCTCTGGCTCTCCTTCCTGAGTGGCAGCCCGCTCGCTAGCTTCGCTTGCCTGTCTGTTCCTGCTGCCTAGTCGCGGCCCGACTAGTGTTCGGACGGCTTTCGACCCGCTTCGCGAGCCTGTTGACCAAACAAACCCACCAGCGCTGCTCGTGAGCTGCGTTTCTTGACGGCGCCTGGCACTCCTGCGCGCTCGCGAGTAAAAAGTATCCCCACCAGCCCCGGCCGCTGTTTTTTTAGGTCTTCGCTGTATCTTATGACGGCGCGCGGTTCCTCCGCTTGCGCTCGCGAACAAAAAGTTGCCCCACCATCCCATCCACAACCGACGCCCAGGTGCATTGAGACGACCAGGGAAGTGTAGGCGCAAAGAGGGGGACAGCCTCTTGAACGCCTCTCTTGAATGCCTCTGGAAGCCGTGTGGAGGCCTCTTGGGGCGTCTTGGAGGCCTCTTGGCGGCCCCAGGTGCGTTGTTGAGCGTTTTGGGTGCTTCGGAGAGCCTCTTCGGCCCTCTTTTCGGGGAATTTTTGGGAGACTCTTTGATGCCCCTTGGGTCCTTGTTGAGGCGCCTTTGGGAGACATAGGGACGCTTGGGACCATTTTGGAGGAGATCGATCAAAGAAGGGGAGACCTTCAATCAGGGCCCGCTTTCGGGAGCACCTAAGATCGCATCCTGGGCCGCTCTTGTGGCGCTTTTGGAACGCCTTTGAGCGTTCTTGGGGCCGCATTGGGGCTCTCAGGGGCATCTCTTGGGGCCCTCGTGGGCCCTCTTGAAACCATCTTGTGGATTCGGAAGGCCATCGAAAGCAAAAAGGCGAAAAGGCAACATTCATTGAATTTCCTTCGGTTTTTGAAGGGTGTCGGTCTCTTGGCGGCCTCCTGGGGAGGTTCCGTGGCCACTTGGAGCACTCTTGGAGCGGTGTTGGGGTCTCTTGGAGCATGTTGGAAACCATCTTGGGCCATATCGGGCCATCTTGGGCAATTTTGGAGGTCATCTTGGGCTCTCTGAGGCCCTCTTGGAGCCATCTTGGGCCATCTTGGACGCTCCAACCCCAGGGAGGGGGTAAGGGTGAGAGGTGAAAGCCCTCCCCGATGGGGAAGAGGGAGGGGTGGAAGAGGAAACGCACTGAACCACCTACGCCCAGAGGGCTGGCAGGACTCTTGTGCCGATCAATGCCAGGGCACAGTTGCATACTACCACACTCCTGAAGAAGAACTTGGCGAAAGCGGCCACGGGTTTCAGACAGCGCTTCGGGGTCGCATCGGAGTATTCATGGGATTGCGTTGCCACGGCGTCATCTTCGCGCAGCGGCGCCCCCCCTTCCCTGGCAAAGGTTACATCGAAGTCCCTAGTGCGGCAGCGGCCCCCGCACGAGCCAAGTTTGGATGGGGGAGAAGAGGGCTGCTGAGTCGATCCTCCTCCCCCTCCTCCTCCTCTTCCTCCTCCTCCTCCCCCTCCTCCTCCTCCTCCTCCTCCTCCTCCTCCTCCTCCTCTCTCTCTCTCTCTTTCTCTCTCTCTCTCTCTCTCTTTCTCTCTCTCTCTCTCTCTCTCTCTCTCTCTCTCCCATGCCAAGGGGGGCGAATCCCGTGGAGTGCACAACACATGCAGCGCCCGCACACCTCCCCGCCTCTCTGAACTTCTCCACGAGCGCGGCCTCGCCAGAAAAGCCGCAACGCGGCGGCCGCAGCCATCCCAGCTCGCCACGGTCAAGCCCCCTTCTCGTGGTGCGGCGGAGCCCCGCACGTGAGGAGGGTGCCCTCGACCAGGGCCCAAGCCGCCTCGTCCTCGTCCTCCGCCTCGGAATATCGCTCGGGCGGGTCGAGAAGGTCAACCAGCTCAGCGTCCTGCGGCCAGAACGGGGAACCCCCACAGCGCAGCGCGGGCTGCGCCTCCAGGAGGGCCTCGCCCATCAGCTCCAGCAAGCACCTCGGCAGCTCCCAGCGACGGCACTCCATGGCCGCAGATGGCCGAGCCACCAGGCCGCGCTGGTGCACCACCGCCGAGAAGTGCGGGCAGTGAATGGCCAGGACTTGGCCGAATGCCCTCTGCGAGCCGCCGAGGTCCGCCACATCGAAGGACGTGAGCGTGGCTTCCGGCAGCGCCAAAAAGCCGCTATCGCGTCCAGCCGCCGGATGGCCGCAGCCCGATTGGCCACAGGGGCCATGTGATGCAGTAGTCCAGCAGCCCCAGCAGCAGCGGCGGCAGCCAAAAAAAGAGTGCCAGCTCGAACCCCAGCGGTCTCCCTCGGCAGTGTCTTCACCCAGAACTTGCTCACTCTGTCCGCTCCCCAAAGCTGGTCTTGGGGCCGAACTGGCAAGCCACCTGATCCAGATGAGCGCTGCGTAGCCGTCCACGAATTGGTCGGTGGTGTGACTACCACTCCGAGCACGACACCTGCTTGAATCCGTGATATCATTTTGTCAAAAAGGTAGAGTCCTCCAACTTCTGTGTCTGCGATGGTTCATTGCAATCAATACATAAGACCGTCAAGTTAAAAACGCCAGTAGCATTGCCCATGATGCTGCTAAAATCATCTTCTGATCGAGGGCCCCAGCCCAGGTGAAGCACGTAGGACTGCGTCTGAGCACCAGCCGCAGGCGTGGGAGGCAGCAGTGGGTCAGGGACCCACTCCACGCGCGGCGGCAGAGGGCGCTCATCGTCAATAGCAGCCTGCCGAACACCTGGCAGTGCGGGCCGAAGCTGAGCAGTTGATCGGAGTCTTTTTGTTCCGCTTCTCGGCCGCCAATTGCTTGTCCTGACGCTGGCACTCTGCCACAGCACCAGCATCCATCGGGGCAGCATTGGCCACAAGATACGCAAGACACACTCCAGTACAGTAGGCCGACGTAGATGCCGAAGGAGCCCAGCCCTCCTCCTTCTCCTCCTCCTCCTGCCCAGGCACCCACACCTGGCGGCTCGAGAAAATGGGTGTCGGCGTCGGCGTCGGAGGCGCTTTGGGGAGCCTGCCTCTCGTCGCCACGCTGGGCTCGGATCCGAAGACTGCCTGAGCTAAGCTTGGCCCAGGGGGGACCTGGGGATGATCTCTCGCAGGCTACGCGCAAGTCGGGGGCCGCACGGCCTGGGGACCTCGGAGGCCCCAATCCCCCGAGACGTCCTCGGAGAACGAACCGAGTCCCCAAATCGGGCGGTGACCTCCCACTGACTCACGTCACCGGGTCAGGCTTGCCTAACCCAGACATCCGACGTTGTGATTTCTTCACGACGAGGCTCCCCAGAGGTTTGGGGACCCCTTCCCTGGGGCCGCTGGCTCAGGCCAGGTATGTCTGTCAACCTTCCTGATCGGCGGCGGGCCCCCGGGGGGAAGTGAGAAGGGGCGGGTCTTCTCGGAAGTCTCAGAAGGCGCGAGGGCTTCCGAGAATTCCCGCCGCCTTCTGAGACTGCCTGCTCCTTCTCGCTTCCCCTCCTCGCTCGCCGCCGACTGGTGAGGGCCCCCAGGGGGTGAAAGTCATCGTCCCGTCCCGATGTGTGTCACGACGCGGGGAGGTCTGGGAGGGCGGCATAGTCGCGTCGCGTCGCCGCGGCGGCGGCCCCTGCGCGGGCTGCCAAGGTGGAACGCTGACGGTCGCCCAGAATCGGCCGATATCGAACGGTCGGAGGATACCGAGAAGCTGGGATGTTTCAAGATTGCATCGGGACGATCGAAACGGGTACGTAAAGAATTGGTACAATGCCCAACAGCAGTTCTTGTTCATTTTGAACAGGACTCGCCGTCCGCGCCGCCGCGGATGTTGTTCATTGATGAAGATACAAAGCCGCCTGCCCAACAGCGGCCTCTGTCGGTGTTGGACAATATTAGTTGTTGGGTATTGTACCCATTTTCTTCGTACCCATTTCGGGCATCCAAATTGAAGGATCCGCGCGGTGCCAGAGGTCAACGCTCGAGTCGACACGGCACGAACTTGCCGTGCGTAGCCAGCGTCAGTGGCGAGTCGGC